TTGGACAGGATGACTTAATATTGTGAAAATATCAGTACTACCCCAAGTGATAGATATAATGCAGTCCCGATTCAAATCCCAACTCAATTCTTCACTGAGATGGGAAAACTAATTACTGACTTTATATGGAAGGGAAAGAGGCCCCAAATAAGTAAAGCCTTATTAAAAAAGAAGGACAAAGTAGGCGACCTCACACTACCTGGTATCAGAACTGACTATACAGCCACAGTAGTCAAGACAGCGTGGTACTGGTACAACAACAGACACATAGACCAAGTGAGAACCTAGATGTAAATCCATCCACCTATGGACAGCTTATCTTCGACAAAGAACCAACGGTGATTAAATGGGGAACAGACAGTCTCTTCAACAAATGATGCTAGCAAAATTGGATATTTATGTGTGGGAAAATGAAACACGATCTATATACCTCATATCATACATAAAAACTAACTCAAAATTGATCAAAGACCTAAATATAAACCCTAAAACTATAAAGATCATGGAGGAAAAATTAGGGACAATTCTAGGGGCCCTAATATATGGCATAAATAGATTACTAAACATAACCAAAAATGCACACAGAAGAAAATGAACTAGATAAAAGAGACCTAAAAATCAAACATTTATGCCTAACAAAGACTTCTCCAAAAGAGTAAGAGAACCTAAAGATTGGGAAAAAATTTTTGACTATGACATATCTGACAACAGTCTAATCTCTAAAATTTACAGAAAACTTCAACACCTCAACAAAAAAATGGCAAATAATCCAGTTAAAAAATGAGCAAAGGATATGAACAGACACTTCACCAAAGAAGACATTCACGCTGCTAACAAACATATGAAGAAATGCTCACAATCATTAGCATTTAGAGAGATGTAAATTAAAACTACAATGAGATACCATCTCACCCCGATATTACTGGTACTAATAATAATAATAAAAAAAATAACAAATGTTGGCAAGGATGTGGGGAGACTGGAACTCTTATTCACTGCTGGTTGGAGTGTAAAATGGTATAACCACTATGGAAGACGGTATGGCATTTCCTCAAAAAGCTGGAAATAAGAAATACCACATAATCCAGAATCCCACCCCTAGGCATATACCCTGAAGAAATCAGAGCTGTGACACAAGTAGACATGTGCATACCCATGTTCACTGTAGCATTATTCACAATAACAAAAAGGTGGAAGCAACGTAAGTGCCCATCAACAGATGAATGGATTAACTGTGGTACATACACACAATGGAATACTACACAGCGATAAAGAATAATGATGAATCCACAAAACATCTCACGACATGGATGAATCTGGAGGGCATTGTGCTGAGTCAATCACAAAAAGACAAATACTGTATGAGAGTGCTTTTGCAAAGTAACAAAAGGTTTACACATTGGGGGGAAGAAAGACTTTTTTTATGGTTACCAGGGATGGAAAGGGGAGAGAGGGAAAATTACCAAATAGATAATAGACACGAGTTAATATTGGTAAAGGGAAAGGGAATACACAATATGGAAGAAGTCAGCACAGCATGACCAAGGCAAGAGAGGACACTGAGAGGAACAGAGGAATAAAGAACAACTATGGTAACTAGCATAGACAATCCTGCAACAATAGAATCAACAATAAATAATCTACAAATGGATACCCAGGTAAGTCAAGAGGTAAGGGAGAGGGTAATGGAACACACCTACGGGTAGATACAGGTTCGGAGGTGGAAATTTCTAAATACATGACTGTAGGTGCTCCTCATGTATTAATACAGAACACACAAGTGGCACAGTTGGGGAAACCTCTTAGACACAACTAAACACCTCAGAGGATGAAGTTTCCAGGCTTGAAGGCAAAGGAGAGACTTGGGGGACATCTACGTCAACTGGCAAAACATAGTTCTTAAAGACAATGTTCTACATCCTACTTTGGTGAGTAGCATTTGGGGTCTTAAAAGCTTACAAGCAGCCATCTAAGATTCCACTATCGGTTTCTAGTCCAGAGCAAAACAACCAAACCCACTGCTGTTGAGTTAATTCCGACTCATAGCGTCCCTATAGGACAGAACAGAACTGCCCCATAGGGTTTCCAAGGAGCAGCTCGTGGATTTAAACTGCCAACCTTCTGGTTAGCAGCCAAGCTCTTTAGTTGGGAGCAGTGGAGAGGGAAAAAAAACTGAAGACTCAAGGGAGTAACGGACTAATGGACCACATGAAGCACCGCCTACACTACCCTGAGACCAGAAGAACTAGACAGTGCTGGTCTGACAGAGACTGGAGGGACCCCTGAGACGATGGGCCCCAGACACTCTTCTAACTCACAAGTGAAGGCACTCCCTAAATTCACCTTTCAGCCAAAGATTAGGCAGGCCTATAAGACAATAACACACGAGAGAAATGTGCTGCTTAGATCAATCAAATGGGCAACAACTGCCTAGGAACAAAGACGAGAAGGCAGGAGGGGACAGGAAAACTGGCTGAATGGACAACGTGAGCCCAGGGTGGAAAGGGAAAGGTGGAGAGTGCTGACACAACAGGGGATTGTAGCCAATACCACGAACAATTTGTGGATACATTTTTGAATGAGAAACTAATTTGCTTTGTAAACTTTCACCTAAATCACACACACAAAGAATGTTATTACAGCTATTTCTCCTTGGGGGAAAAACCTTTTTCCCAGGCTAGTGCCCCACCCTCCTATTAAAATCTGCGTGTCAATTAGTTATAGGACTTTTTCTAGACTAGGTATTCAGATTCTAACAGCACCCCTCCCTAGGCCTTAGTTTTCTCATCTGTGCAATTTTAGATAAGATGGTATCTAAGGAAGACACTGTATGAGATTAACTAGCCCAGCAGTTTGCCATTTTCTTTTCTCTAGCAACATAGCTTTTTCAAACCATCTTAGGTGGAACCTTAACACAAAGAGAAACAACTCTGTTGTCTCAAGCTGCTGAGGTCCCTCTTCATCTGGGAACCCACTAATGGTTCAACTCTAGGCAAGGTTTCAGAGGAAAACTGGAGGCCTAGGGGTCAGTGATTTACTCAGGTACATGGTGGTGGAGTCAGAACCAAAGCCAGGGCTCTCCCAGGTTCTCTTCACAGCTCCCAGGGAAGGTAGCTAGACTGGGAAACGGGAAGAGAATAAGAGTCTCTAAAAATAACTGGCACCCGCTCTGTTCCCAAATGGTGGTATGGCTTTCTTACAGATGGCAATTTTTCCAATTACAAACGCACAGAAAGTGTGTAAATATACCCTCTCCTCACTTACCAATGTGGTTGAGTTCCAAAGACCAAGTGATTATGCAAAATTGGTATTATGCAAAAATGGAGGATGACTACATCATTATACAACTGCCAAATTGCATCACTACATAACTGCCAAGCTACTGAGAATCACGGCCCAGCCAAGCTGACACATAACCTTAACTGTCAAAGCCAGCATTATTCTCGCTTCACACCTCGGTGTTTGTTAAACTGCGAGACATATATCATTAATGCACAAAATAGATTTTTTTACTATTATCATAAATGCAAAATGTCATAAAACAAGATAGTCAATAATGAAAAGGTGTATTAGAAATAGCTGGGTCCTTGGAAGGATGGGTAATTTGTTAAAAAATGGGATTTAAGATTTAGGGGAGTTGGCACCTACTTAATAGTGATGCTTAGCTGTTCTCCTTCTGCCTTCCTTTATCCATGGTTATTGGCAAAGTGGCCAAACCTAACAGCTGTGAAAGAGTAAACTGAGGTGGGGCTGTGATTCTTCCCTTTTCTCCACAGAGCTTCCTACACAAAGTATTCTCTCTTCTCTGTAACCAACTTCAAATACCATTCTTCCCCATCAGTCAGTTTTCTCTCTGGCTCTCAGGAGCAATGAAACAGTCTTTTATGTGTCCCGCAGAACAGACCCTTTTCTAAAGAGTGAAAAGCAGAAAAATGAAAAAAGAAATTCTGCCTGACTTATACCACCTCCTATGCTGTCCATAAATATCTATGGAATCTCAATATCCATGTACATTAGCTATGGGATGAAAGGAACCAGCGTTTTTAAAATTGTTTTTTAAATTAACATACAATAAAACTCACTTATCCCTTCAGGCACACCCTCCACATTCTCCTCCACCCCTAACCTCTGGCCACCACTGATCTGTTCTCTGTTACTATAGTCTTGTCTGAGATGTCATATAGATAGAATCATTAAGTATGTAACCTTTTGAGAACAGCTTCACTCAGCATAGTGCCTATGAGATTCAGCCAAGTTGTGTGTATCAATACTTGGTATCTTTTTATTGTTGAGTCATACTGCAGTCTATGCATGTACCAGTTTATCCATTCACCCCATGAAGGACATATGGACAATTATGAATAATGCTGCTATAAACAGTTGTATATACTGGCTTTGTGTGAACGTAAGTTTTTTTATTTCTCTAGGGTAAATCCCCAGGAATGGGAATGCGGAGTCATATATTAAGTATATGTTTACCTTCATAAGAAACAGCCAAACTCTCTTGCACAGTGACTGTACCATTTTACACAGGGACCAGCTTTTTACCTTTTATATTTGTAAATGAGCTTTCAGGCTTTAAAACAAAATAATTTAATAGAACTACGTATCTCAAAATATTAATTTTATTACCTAATACCATACTATTCATTGTTTTGTCTATTAATGAGTTTTAACTTTCCCCTACTCCATATATAGAAGAATCTGGCCTGGATGTTCTTAAATATGAACCATTTGTTGCTCATTTATTTCACTACATAATAACTCCTAACTGTACAAGGAGTTCCCACAGTGTGATGCAAAGTGCTGAAAGAGGCTGAATAAGGAACTGGGTTTAAGAATAGTCCTGCAGCCTCTCCATCCCCACTCCAACCTTTGTTTGTGTTAAGTGGTGAAGGACTACTATCTTACCTAAATCTGAGTTGTTCTAGGCAAGTTGCACAAACCTGCTTGACTTCCTTGTGATCCTGCTCACCCTATACCTGAGCAAGTCACTGTACCTGATTGTCCTTCTGCATCAGGGTCCACAGGTCAAGTACATCAGTCCCACAGTCTTGGGCTACTTTTAAGCAGGCACTGGCATATTCACCAACAACCAAGTTCAGGCGATTTAATTTGCAACCTATTGAGAGAAAATCAAGTGGGAGTTCACAAACCCATGCACTGGTCCCTGTGCTGGTTGTACTGACCTGGCTGGTTTCTAAGTTCTGCTAAACTGGCACTCACTAACACCCACTCTGGGCTGGCCATGGAGCCTGGGGAAAGCAAAAACGAAAAAGACACAATTCCCGCCCTTCACAATCTCACAAGTTGCTAATACGTGCTGCTCTGCGCAGCAGAGGACAAAGCAGAAGAAGAAAATAGAGTGAGCCACTGACTGTAACTGAGGCCTGTGGATGATGGGCCTGAGGCAGTGGGATGCCATGTCCTGGGGGGGTTCCCGTCTCATCGACTGGAGTGCAGGCCAGAGGTGAATGGAATTGGGCTGGTGGCCAGTGAGGGATATGCTAGAAAGGAATGTCAGGCCAGACAATGGAAGTTGAATCAGCTGACAACCCTGAATTTTTATATATAATGGGAAGCCACTGCAATACAGTGGAAAAATCATTTTATAGGCTTTGGACATAGAGACCTAAGTTTGTTGTGCGTGTGTGTGTGTGTTATTGTGGTAGACATATATGTAACAAAACATTTGCCATTTCATCATTCTTCACACGTACAGTTTAGTAACGTTGTGTTCATCGTGTTATGCAACCATCACCAGTATCTGTTCCCAAGTTTCTCCATCACCCTCAAGAGAAGCTCGGTGAGACCTAAGTTTTGATGTCTATGATTGCCACTGTATAGCTGTGTGACTATGAACAACTTATTTGACCTTTCTGAGGCTTTCCTCACCTATATGATGATGATAGCTACCTATGGTAATCACAGGGATACTGAGACAAAAGACGAAACTCACACAGTCCATCTACCCCAGGGTGTCTGATAATTATTCAGCACACGTGCACGTAGCCTCATCCTCCCGCAGTCTGCTCTGGCAGTGGCGGTGGAGTGCTGTTTGGAGACGGAGCCAGGCTGGTATGGAAGGAGAGCAGAAGGTGGGGTAGATGGTGAGGAGGCTACTGCCTGAGTACTGGCTGGGGGTAATATGAGGCCAGCTAGGGTGGGGGCAGTGAAAGCCAGTAGAAAGGAGAGACTGGAGGAATGGGATATTGAGGAGGAAAAACTCAGGTTTTAGCAGCTGGATACAAGGGATAAGGGAAGACTACTAAGATGACAAAGTTTCATTTCATGCCTGAGAGAGAGAAAAAAATAAACTCTTCCCTTCTTTTGATTCATACACTGTCTGCTCATGAAATTCACCTAGATTACAATCAGCTTAACTTCTAGGGGCCCAATTATCTAGACAAGCCCCCTCTGCCCACCTACTTTTGCTCATCTCTCACTCTTTTTGACCTATACTGGATTACATTCAAGGGCAGAAAGTAGAAATGAGATTAAAATTTCAGAACTTAATATATTCTCTTGAGAATATACACCGTTTGTTTGACCTGGGAAACAATAAACAGAAGTTTAAAACTGCTTCTGTTGATCATAGCATAGGACGTTTGTCCCCCTTCTGTTAAGGCCAAGAATATGCCATCCAAGGCATAATTGTGGCTTGAGGGCCAGAAGAAAGCTAGGGAGTCAGGAGCCACCTCAGAGCTTTCGACCATGCTTCCTGGGCCCGGATGGAACCTCACAAGTCACTGTGCTGTCTGTCCTGTGTGCAGCAGGACGCCTCCCTGTGACCTGCCCAGATGCCCAGTGTTTACAGTCACTGCACAAAGGCTTGGCTTCTCCCTCTAATGTCACAGTGAATACTGTGCTCACTGTACTTGCAGTGTGTGGACCTCCTGACATATGCTATTCGTTACTCAAGATGGTGTTTGCTTCCCCACGAAGGACTACAGGCCCTTTGAGAGCAGGGGCATCGCTGCAACCCAATGGAAAGGTAGTCTTATGGAACGGTACCTACTCGAGCTCTGAAGTTAAGACCACCTGGACTTGATTCACTGCTGTGTGGTCTTGGGCAAGTTAACATCACTAAGACTCTATTCTTCCGTCTATAAAATAGGGACAGTTAATAGTCTTCACATAAAATTGAGACTTGTATAAGAAACACAGTTGGGTGGGGGTGGGGGACAAAAAACAGCTGGAGTGCTTCTTAAAATGGGCCCAGAAATCTACCTAAAAATAATAGCTAGCTAACACTGAGTCAGACTATGCTTTGAGAAATAGTTGCCCTGCAATGCAAAGCCATTAATTTGCCCTAGAATAACCTATTGTTTTTGAGTTCAGACTGCTTTTTATACAAAATTCCATATTGTACCTTTTAAGCCATTCAAGTATATGTCAGCATGAGAAAACTAGTAAGCTCAAGTTATGTAAGTGTCTTTATTTAGGAAAAAAGAATGAAGAAATTTTATCACACACCTTCTTTCCAAATGCCAAAAACCAGGCAGGAAATGATCTGAATATGAGCACTCTCCTCTGAGAGCCCAGAAACTCGTAAGGAGAAAGCTCCAGGGTGACATGGTTAGGCTGGTGTCTTACAACAGCTCCAGCTGTATCTGAGACAAAGTGCCAAGCCACTGTAAGGAGAAAGCTCCAGGATGATCTGATTAGGCTGATGTCTTAGAACAGCTCCAGTTTTATCTGAGACAAAGAGCCAAACTCTAAACTGGCTAAGAGTGTAACTGTAGTACAGTTGAAAGAACATGTTGCCATGAAGATCAACAGGTGAGTTACCTAAAAATACCTTTCAAGAAAATCTAACACAGATGAAATGCATCATTTGGCTGAGCTGAAAGAAAAAAAGACTTGGTGTTTTGAATTTGCTTCTAACTGTCTCGTTCCCATTTGCCTTGGTACATAAGGATTAATGCAGAACAAAAAGGAAAGCTGCAGGTAATGTTAAAAGGGAATTGGCTCCAGCCCAGAAAAGAGTTATCTGGTAAGCCCTGACACCCAGAAGACCAAACAGAAGAAATCCTTGACAGACTGTAACTGACACTGCAGGAAACACAAACCGATACCCAAGGAATACAACTTCATACAAGTAATACAACTATAGCTTTCTAACGTATTAGAAATTATTGCTAGTACCCATGTCTTAACTAAAGCTATGAAAGTTTGTTCAGACTAACAAAAGCTCAGGTGTATGCCAGTTTACTGAGATAAAACAAATGTACGTGAAAGAAGCAGAACTTGGGATATAAAGTCAAGTTAGAAAACCAATTACTGAATATGACACAGGTAACTGATTATATGTGCTGAAGGGCAGGCAATTCTTTTTTTTTTTCCCTATTTTCATTTTATTAGAAGAAATGGGACTTTCAGATAATAAAAACAATGACACAAAGGCCATGTCCACTAGCTCAATTTTTAAATTCCAGTTTTGCAAGCAGAGTGTTCCAGAGAGGATCCCAGGTGTTAGAGGAATCAGAATCAGAAGTTAAGAGCTAGAAGGGACCTCAGAGGTCATTTATTATAGCTCAGGAGTTGGCAAACTTTCTGTAAAGGGCCAGACAGTAAATATTTTAGGCCTGTAGTCTAAATGATTTCTGTTGGAACTGCCACTGTAGCTCGAAAGCAGTCACAGACAATATGTTAATCAATGGGCATGGTTGTCTTCCAATAAAATTTTACTGGGAGTTGGCTAACCCCCTAGTCTAATGCAGTGATTTCAAACTTAAGCGCACCTCAAGGACTTCATAAAACACAGTATGCTGGCCTCTGCCCCTCAAGTTCTGATTCAGGAAGTCCAAGAATATGCATTTCTACCAAGTTCCCAGGTGATGTTGATGCTGCTAGTGTGGAAACAGAAGAACCATGGTCTATGTCTCCTAAACCTTCTTGATTAAAACCAAAGTAATTAAGTATGTTTCACGCCAGGCCCCAATACACACATCTACAGAACTAAAACAAGTTTCCCAAAACAATGCCTACTGTGTTCCAAGAAACACCAAACCCACTGCCATCAAGTCTGACTCAGCGACCTTATAGGATCGAGTAGAACGGCCTCATATGGTTTCCAAAGTTGTAAATCTTTACGGAAGCAGACTGCCACATCTTTCTCCCATGAAGCGACTGCTGGGTTCAAACCACCAATCTTTTGGTTAGTAGTCGAGCGCTTAACCATTGCGCAACTAGGGCTCCTAACTGTTCTAGATACTTTTTTTTTTCTTGGTATACCATTTTTTGAAAATGTTTGTTGTAACTCATTTAATTGGTTTCATGATCTACTACTGGGGGTCATGACCTGCAATTTGAAAAACAATGACACAGTTCTTCTACGCCTCTGGCCATCCTCCAAAAACAATGACACAGTTCTTACTCCTTCTACACCTCTGGCCACCCAGTCTTAGCTTGAATACTTCCTGCAAAGAGGAATTTACTACCTAACCGGCAATACCTCATGCAAAGCAGATTACTATTCTTTACATTGAATTAAAATCTGCCTTGATGACGTCCACTGGTGGTGGATCCTAGTTTTGCCCTGTGGTGCTAACAAGAGTTCAGTCCTTTCTATGAAAGAGTCCTTCAAACATCTGATGACAGCTAGCATACCCACCTCCTCCCTATATAGTCTCTTTTCCACGGTAAACATTCCTTATTTACTTCCTTTAGGGAGCTGTCTTTGACATGTCTAGTATCTTCTTTGGTACTTTCAACAGAACTTGACATCTACTATATCATTTATCACTGTGCAAACATCTATTGACTATAGACATCTAAATATATGTTGCTGTTCGTAGGCGCTGTTGAGTTGGTTCTGACTCACAGCGACCCCATGTACATCAGAATGAAATACTGCCCAGTCCTGTGCCATCCTCACAGTAGTTGCTGTGTTTGAGCCCATTGTTGCAGCCACTGTGTCAATCCATCTCATCGAGGGTCTTCCTCTTTTTCAATGACCCTCTACCTTACCAAGCATGATGTCCTTCTCCAGGGACTGATCGCTCCTGATAACATGTCCAAGGTACGTGAGACACATCTCACCATCCTCTATTAACTATCTCCCTTACTAGGCCGACGGAGGAACTGTGCACTAGTCATCGCTATATCCCCAGCACCTGGCCCAGGTCCTAGCATAGCAGGTAAAGTTGAATGAACAGTTTGGAGAGGTAGAAGTAAAGTGCCTTAGGTGGCAGCAAGGCAGAAAACCTGGTGGTGGTGTGCCAAAGAGTTGCATTAAATTGGTAAATTACAAGTAATGTGAAAATGCCTTGTACTTGAGTACATCTGTGTCAGTGAGACTGCAGCAGAGCCTTTATTGTGAGGGAAAAGCAAGGTTCCACTACTAAGGGGCAATACGACAAGCGAGGCAAAGGAGAGACAAGAGGGCTCTCTCTCCTGGCCACATACAGATGGCTGCAGGCGCATCGCACTGCTGTGAAGTCAGGAAAAACACCCACAATGTGGACTCAGCTTCAGCACCACGTGGGGAACAGCAGTTTATCTGACTGTTCCAAAGATGTACATGCCTCTACACAATCAGGTGTCCCTACATAATTTTCAGTTGGCTCCATGTGCACCTTTGGAGTTTGTCAAATACGAAGGTCAGCAACTTGCAAACACCTGGCTAGTGGTTCCCAGATTACAAAAGTGAGAATCCCTTTTCTACAACAAAAAATTTATTGAGGACTTCTGGGCAACATGGCACTATAGTCAGAAGCACCATGCTGTCCCTCCGCAGCAAAGATCAGAAAAACTAAGTCAAACAGAGTCACCTGTCAATCCTGAAACCCTAAGCATCAAATGAAGAGATAAAGAACTCAGCCAAGCACCGAATGGAACAAGAAACTGACCGAGAAGAGAAAGCGAGGAGAGATACAGGCAGAGGTCCCCTATCAGCTACTGCAGCACAGATCCACCATCCTGGACACCTATTGGAGAACAGCAAACGGGTACAAGAAAGCAGCTTCATGGAGCTTCCAGCAGGAGACAGAACAACCAGTAACCAGCGATACACGCTTTCCCACCCACCCTGCTTCACCCCCACTTAGCCTCCTCTGCTTCCTGCAGCTACGGTCTCTTGGCCAGGAAGCACCAGCTTCACCCTGGTGTTGCTTGGATTCCACCCACCCGCACTGGCCGGCTCCCTGAGTGCCTTTCGTTGGCTGGTGTTGCTTTTTTCCGCTTCTTTAGATTTCTTCCTTACCTCTCACCACCTCTCCCTCCTTTCTCTCAAATACCTGGCTCCATGCACTATCTCTGCTTCTTCCTGAAAGGCTGCAAAACACCGTGACTGTGAAACTGCTTCCCCGCCCATGCTGCCACGCTGGTGGGGCCCCCGGGGGCTTTTTTGTTTGTTTGTTTGCTCTGATTTGTTCTGTTTTGATTTGTTTGTTTTCTTTTTCTTTTCTCAGCTTGGGAGCCCCTTCTACCCAGGCAGTAAAAAATAAATTTCTTGAACATAACAGAAGCTATGTATTTTTTGTTTTAACTTCTGCTAATTGAAAAGACAAACTGATATGAATTTACAGACCCCTAGGAGGAGCCCTGGTGATGCAGTAGTTAAGTGTTCCGCTGCTAATCAAAAGGTCAGTGATTTGAAATCACCAGCTGCTTGGCAGGAGAAAGATGTGAAAGTCTGCTCCTGTAAAGATTTACAGCCTTGGAAACCCTATGGGGCAGTTCTACTTGGTCCTACAGGTTGCTATGACTCGGAAATGACTCCATGGCAATTGGTTGGGTTGGGTTAGGAGAAGCCCTGATGGTGTATTGGTTAAGTGCTGAGCTGCTAACCAAAAGGTGAGCAGTTCAAACCCACCAGTGGCTCTTCAGGAGGAAAGGCCTGGTGATCTGCTCCCATAAAGATTTCAGCTTACACTCAACTGAGCTGGCACAGTGGCCACATCCTTTTTGGGGGACCTGTGGAAGACTGTAGGCAGGCGTGAGGGCAGAGCCTTGGATCTCCTGAAGACCACAGGTTCATAACCCACACGCCTCTTGCAAACTATCAAGCGTGACTTAAGTTTAAGGCAGGCAAAGACATTAGCTAAGCAATAAGCTTTTAGTAGTGTTTAATATTCACAAAAATCATCAGTATTATCTTACGAATAAACAAAATGTGGTATATACACACAATGAAATATTACTCAGCCATAAAGAGAAATAAAGTCTGGATACATGCTACGACATGTGTGAACTTTGAAAACATTATGGGGGATGAAAGAAGTTAGTCCCAAAAGGACAAACATTATATGAATTCACTTATATGAAATATCTAGAATAGGCAAATACGTAGAGACCAAAGTTTATTAGTTGTTACTAGAGGTGGGCAGGAGACATGCGAAAAGGGGGACTCACTGCTTAGAGGACACTGAGCTTCAGTTAAGAGGTGATGGGAAATACGGAAGCGAATAACAACACAATAAACGTAACTAACGTCACTGAACTGTACATGTGAATAATGTTGAGAAGGCAAACCATTTGTTACATATATATTTACCACAATTAGAAAAAAAATCATCCTCAACAATAAATAAAATTTAAAAAAAAAGACTGCAGCCTAGGAAACCCTATGGAGCAGTTCTGTTCTGTCCTATCAGGTTGCTATGAGTTGGAAATCAACTCAATGGCACACTACAACAACAAGAACAAGGACCCATCTGTCTCTAGTACTGTGTATGGCTTGTGTGTTGCAATGATGCTGAAAGCTATGTCACCAGTATTTCAAATACAAGCAAGGCCACCCATGGTGGATGGGTTTCAGCAGAGCTTCCAGACTAAGACAGACTAGGAAGAAAGGCCTGGCAATATACTTCCAAAAATTAGCCAGTGAAAACCCTATGTATCACAACTAATGAAAAAGGAAGAGAGAAGAACTGATGTGTTCGAACTGTGGCATTCATGCAGAATACTCAATAGACTGTGGACTGCCAAAATAACAAACAAACCAGTCTTAGAAGAAATACAACCAAAATGGAGGACAAGACTTTGACTTGCTTACTTTAGACACGTCATCAGGAAAGACCAATAGCTAGAAAAGGAAATCATGGTTGGTAGAGGACTAACGAAAACAAAGGACGCCCTTAATGAGAGGGATTGACACAACAGGCACAACTATGGACTGAAAAATGCCAATGATCATGAAGATGGTGCCCAACTTTATGTTACAATTAAGGTTGCCATGAGTCAGAACCGATTTGCTGGCAACTAACAATAAGAACCTGAGGCCCACAGGCCGGGAACCACAGTTCCATCAAAATTATTCTCTGAGCATTCACATCCAAGTTTGGTGAGACTGCAGTTTGGTTTTGTTTACCTTGTATGATGCACTCCTTTTCCCAAGCTGTTTCACAAAGAGGGGGTGGCGTGATGAGAATAACTCTATTCTCAGGGATGTCCACAGACTTCAGGTACTGCACCATGCTCTTTAAATTCGCAATATACTCCTCCAGTGGAATGTGCTGCTTAGGATTCTCATCTGTTCAGGAGCAATGTGAATATTTCAGCCCAAATATGTATTTGTTATAAGTGACAATAATTAAGATTAATACACTCTTCCACAAATGTGTATGACTCATGAGGTCCCCTGCAAATTGTTTAGCACCAAGGACAGAAAAAAGAAGGAAAAGGATTTAAAATATCCAGTTCTTCAAAAAACAGACTTCAGAGGATTTGTCTATGGACCTGTGTGTACTCTTGTCTCTTCTCCTCTGGTGGCCATGTTGTTACGAATCCATTAGGTTGAATTTGTAAAGAAAATAAGAACCCTAGCTGTGGATCGCAACTGTCCAGATTCAAATCCTGGCTTTCTCACGGATTATCCACATAACCTTGGATAAATATTTAACCTTTCTGTACCTCAGATTACACACTGGTAAAATTAGGATAATAACAGAGTCTGCCTATAAGGGTTACTGTGAAAATTAAATTAGCTAAGTATGTAAAGCAGGCTTTCTTCTACAGAGTAAGTACTCAATAAGTAAACGTCAGCTACTGCTACTACTTACAATATAGTATTATTACTACTACTACTAACAGCTGGAAACCCTGATGGCATAGTGGTTAAGTGCTACAACTGCTATCTAAAAGGCTGGCAGTTTGAATCCACCAAGCACTCCTTGGAAACCCTATGAGGCAGTTCTACTCTGCCCTATAGGGTCGCTATGAGTCAGAATTGACTCAACAGCAATGGGTTTGGATTTTTTGGTTATTACTACTACTATTATTATTGCAAAGGATTACTTCTAGATAGGTTCACACATAAGTATTACAAGGCTCACTGGAGACCATTTGCAAACCACATACAAAGAAAATTAAAATAGGCCATAATCCCATCATCCAGAAAAACCACTGTTGGCATTTGGATTTCTTTCTTTCCAGTCTTTCCCATACAGACATGCATGCTTTAAAAAAAAAAACTGAGATCACACTGAATATATATGGTCTTATGTTCTGCCTTTTTTTACATACTGTATTATGAGCATTTCTGTATCCATAAACAGTTATCAAAAATATGACAATTAATGGCTTCACAGTTGTAGGGTGACCATATTGATATTTTTATTTCCTTACGATGCAGCATTCAAGTTTTTTGCTATTATAAATAACAACGCATAGAAATCTTTGCACATATATGACTGCATTACTGAATATTTCCTTAGGCTAGATTTCTAGACAAAAGAAGTCTCTTGATGCATAACTGCCAAACAGCTTTCCAGAAAGATTATACCAAGTTATTCTTCCACTAGCAAAGTAAGAGTTCCTATCTTACCCCATGCTTGCCAGCTGTAGTATTGTTTAAAACTGTTTTCCAATTTGAGAGGCAAAACACAAAAATCCCTTGTTTTCATTTGCATTTTTTTATACCCTGGTTTCTCTTTTTTAAATAATATTTTATTGTGTTTTTGGTGAAAGTTTACACAGTAAATTAGGTTCCCATTTGCCAATTTCTATACAAATTGTTCAGTGACGTTAGTTACATTTTTCACAAAGTGCTAACATTCTCTTTAACTGTGTTCTGATTCTTCCCTTTCCAGTACTCTAGCTTCCCTGCCCTCCTATCTTTTCATCTTTGCTCTAGGATAAATGCTGACCTTTCGGTCTCATATAGGTGGTTTTGTAGTACAGCACCATATTTACGGGTAACATCCTTTATTTTGTGTGCCACTTTGTTGTTTCCCTGAAAGGTGACCTTGGGATATTTGCATTTTTTTGATAACTGAAGTTTACACACATTTTTGCAAACATACATTGGCATAAATCTCTTTTTGTGAATTTGTTTCTGTCCTTTGCCAACTCTTCTATTAGAGTTAGTATTTTTCTTATTGATTTCTACGTTATGGGCATTTCATCTGGCATATTTTTGCAAATATTTTTCCCAGTGCGTCATTCTCTTTTTCTACTTTATGGTTTTTTTGATGTAAGCTATTTTGAGTTTATTTCATAAACCTGTTTTTTTTTCCTTTGCACCTTCCTCCATTGTCTTTATGCTTAGAAAGTATTTTTCCTTGTCCTAAATTTGATACAAGTTCACATACTATTTTTTAGTACTATTCGTTGGAGTTTTCTTTCTTACATTCAAATTTATTTTGGTATAAGATATATAGTAAAGATCTGACTTGCATTTCTCCCAAACTGTTAATTTAGAGTCTCTAGTAATACCTATAATCTACACAATCTTCCTCAAAGGCAGCAAGGATTCCTTGTATTGCAATTAGCAGTTGTCCCTTCTGCTTTCTAGAGCTGCAAGCCTCACCTGGGAAATCCCCCCCAGTGTCCCCACGAACAGCAGACTTGGTGTTTGTTCTATGGCAGAAGTAGGGGCATGGGAAAATCCTCAGGCAGATAATGTTGATTTTTCCTTCCCTGACAGCCTGCAGAGGGCTCCTTCTAGGGGCAGGGAGGGAAGAGGCAAAGCCAGTACACAGCTAGTTTCTCCTCTGGTCACAGCAGCAGTTCTTCAGAAAACAAGTAGAGACACAGCTCCTTTTCCGAATCCAGGTTTGCCAACACCCAGAATCCAAGCATACACCTAGTTCAGGATTGCTGCTTGCCCTCAAGTACAGGCAGTCCCCGACTTACGACGGGGTGCTCTTCCAACGACTCTGTCGTAAGTCAGGTCCGATGTAAGTCAAATACCTCATTTTGTTTTTTTTAGTTTTCATTATTATTGCCTTTTATTATCAGTTATCTTTATGAATCCAATCTTTATTTGTCTTTGGGGGTTGGAAACATTATATAAACTTACAGATATTATTTTAACATTGTATGTAGTACATATCACTAACGATAAGATACACCAAAAAAACCTCAGATAGTTCAAAGTGCAGTTCGTTGGAACTCAAATATGTCGTAAGTCGAGGACTATCTATAGTTCTTTTTTATCAGTGTAATTAAAACTGCAGAGTGTACAATCTGAGCACCACAAATGGTTAGCACTGGTAACTGAAAGGTTAGTGGTTTGAACCCAGCCGGCCTAATGATCTGCTTTCGTAAAGATTACGGCCAAGAAAACCCTACAGAGCAGTTCTCTGTAACATGGAGGGTGGCCGTAAGTCAGAATCAACTCAACAGCACAAGACAACAACTGCCAACTACATCAATCAAAGGAGAATAAACTGGAAACTTTGTACAGCATGAATGGACTTTACAACACATGGAAGTGTGAGACTGCAGATCTGCCAACAACCAGGGGCATGCAGAAACGAGTCAGGAATAAAATCCACCAACAGTAAAGCCAGAAGAAATGCATATACGTAAACTCAGAGAACTCGTTTATAATTTTTGCAAAACTTATCTATTGGGAAGTAAGTAAACAGCTGAAGACAGTACATAAATTTAGGTGTGAAGTAAGAATAATTAAAAATGAGCTAGAAAAACATAAAAATGTCTTTACCTTTTAAAGCACTGTCATTGCTACCAAAGAAAATTGTAACTGCTACAGGGCTGTCCAAACTGTTACCTTTCCTGATTAATCTTGGAAGAATAATTTTGGCCCATCTGGTATTGTAACCTGAAAATCCACGATTCAAAACATCACATTTTCTGAAAGGAAAAATTTAAAAAGAAGATAAATTGTGGGCAAAGAACTATGTACAGACTCATTCAGCCAACCTCTGATGAAGGTGTGCTCTCTGGGCATGGAATCCTTTGCTGGTATCCACAACTCTGATCTAGCCCCAGGTTTCACTTTGATAAGAGCAATAAAATGGTTGGAGCATGCTATTCTCCCCTAAATAGTTCACATATACAGGTAAATATATCATATTCCCAAATGACAGAGGTTCTGAATAACTATGTGCAAAGGGGCTATGATTCAGTCTGCAGACTGATTTTCTGCATGGGACAGCTTTTAAAATGGAATTTATGACAGATATTAATCTGAGCAAATATCTTCTATAGAAAGCCACTAATAAGCTGGAACTCAAATGTCATAAAGGTTTAGTTTAGGATAAATGTATGGAAAATTTTTGAGACTTTTCATTTTGTTCTGATTCAATAATTTTAGTAAACATATTAGTTGTGTTTCAGTTTAAGTCAGTTTATTAAGAGGCATTTTTTTTCCTACTTAAAAATATTACTGTCATTCACAGTACTGTATGGTATAATGAAAAACAACAAACCATGGATCTTGAGCCAGGCTGCCTAGGTTTGTGTTCCAGCTCCATCACTTGCTAGCTGTGTGACCTTGAGCATGTCACTTAGCTCCTTACATGTAAAGTGAGGGTAACCAAAGTTCAGGATTAAATTAGACAACATATTGAAAACACCTAATACAATATCAAGGAGCCCTCGTGGTGCAGTGGTTAAGCACTTGGCTGCTAACTAAAAGGTCGGCAGTTCAAACCCACCAACTGCTCTGTGGGAGAAAGATGTGGCAGGCTGCTTCTGTAAAGATTACAGCCTTGGAAACCCTATGGGGCAGTTCTACTCTGTCCTACATGGTCGCTATGAGTCAGAATGTTAACCTGTTACTTTCCTGATAAACCCTATAATCGTGAGTATTGACTATGAGTTCTGTGTGGCCACTGCAATGAATTATTGAACCCAGCAGAGAAGTAGAGAGTGCCATGGGACGGACAGATGGTATCAGAATTGGTAAAGATGGTGGAGAGGGGAGGCATGTCTGACCTCTGCCTCATAGGCATCAGCCTTGGGCTGCTGATCTTGATTCCTCTTCCTCCTTGTGAACTTAGAGGTCAGACACTGCCCCCACACCATTTTTACAGCTAAGATACAAACACACTTTCTATCAATCTAGAAACTTTTCTCACCTGACCAGCTTGTCAGCCAGTGATGCTCCCCATCCACCCTGCTGAAAAGAAAACTGAAGAAAAGCCCATTACTACTTATCAATATAATTAAAACATTTTAGTGAAGGCAATTTTAATCAGCAACTCCCCTTTTGTTTTCCCTTGGCATTTCTTGGCCTTCATCATTTGATTTGCTCAGGGGAGGTCATTTTAGGGATTAGCATAGCTACACTTTAGCAGCACTCTGGAAATAAGTACAGAAGCGTATTTTTCTTCCCTATAAACTGAATTTGAATAAGTCATTTACATTTTATTGAGACTTAATATTAGAGTCCAGAGTCCACGGGTGACACAAAACAGTTAAACGCTCAAGTACGAGTCAAAAGGTTGGTGGTTTGAAGCTCCCCAGAGGTACCTCGGAAGACAGTCCACAGCCTTGAAAACCCTATGGAGCAGTTCTACTCTGTGCATATGGGGTTGCCATGAGTAAGAATTGACTGGATTGCAACTAACAACACAATAGTAGAGTCACTGTTATCTAGAAAAAGCTATTTTAAACCCAGGTACAAGAGACTTAAAAATCAACTATGTGTTCAGTTAGGAAATGAAGACCATCCTAACACCTGTCCATAGATGAAAAAATAATGAAATACACTGATTAATTAATTACAGAACTCAAGGTAAACATTCTTTGATATACAATCACACAGAATTTGGAGAGCTCTAACTGCCCCAGATGCCTAAAATTAATGCTACCAATTACTGGCATATACAAATGGGTTCAGAAAGTCACACCTGAATGTTATAAAAATAAAACATACTAAAAGAATTTTAAAAAATTTACTCTGTCCCTGAAGAACATATATTTCCTATAATTTTTTCTTAAATGTGAGCTGAAATGATCTTGGATAAAAAGATTATCTTTTTATTTTCGGAAGCATTTTTTTTTTTTTCCAGATCAACCATTAATTGCCCAACCTGTTCCACCAGCAGAAGCACTGTGGTGAATTGGCTCAAAGTGTTTTCTACACGGAGGGTACAAGCTATACAAAAACTCTGCAGGACGTGATGAATCGTGGTCTAGGTACCTGTCCCCTTGCAGAAGCCTCCAGGGCTGATGGCACACGACGCTCAGTCTGTGAGAACAAAGCACGGTTCCTGTCGTGAGCGACTAAGCCACGATTCTTGGAAAAGGAGAACAGCTATTGCCAACGACAGTAAAATGAAAACAATGCACCTAACTTGTACCAGGTCATCATAAAAGCCCTGTGAAGAAGGACGCCGAAAGAGCAAAGGCTGAGCTCAGTTTTGTCGCTCCTTAGGGCATGACCTGGACAAGCCACGTCACGTCCCTATACCTCCCGCCCTCATCTGTAACAACAAAGCTATCTAGCTACAAGACTAAATAAAAACGCGTGTGAAAGGGCTGCGGAAACCACACCAATCCTGGAAGATACCATCACCCCTGAAGAAAGTAACTAAGACCTCCGCCAGGATGTTACTAAGGGAAACTGGAGAAGGCAGGGGCACGCGTTCATTGGCGATTGTTACCGGAGGCTGGAGGCACCACACAAATGATCTCCTATTCCTCAGCTGGGGCTCAGGTGGGGCAACCCGGGCATTTTGGAGAAAGGAGGCCTTGAGAATCTCGTCACAAACCGACTGGATTAAGTGGAGAGACATGGGGCTGGGGTGTCAGTGCGAGAGCCAAGAGAACGTGATATACCAGGCCCGGCGCAGGGCCCAGAGACCGAGGGTCCAGAGGGCGCAGGCGACGAGGCACAAGTCCCAGGGCGCCACCTGAGGGTCACAGGACTTGATGGAGAGAGCGGCACCAGGGCAGCCCAGGAGACCAGGGTGGCGGTACCTGGGTGATGGAGTCTCCAAACAGCAGCACGCGAGGACAAAGCAGATAGCTTCCGCACCTCACCACTTCGGAGACAGCCATGGCTACTGCCCGCGAGAGGCGGAGCCAAACCGGATATCCGGGCGCGCGCCGGGGGCGGGGCGAGGCGCCTGCGCAGTACGCACTCTCCTGCCCGCGGTGCCCTGAGCCTGGCTCTCTCTCCTGGGTGGGCTTGCCAGGGCCTCCTTACCGTAGGCGGCTGGTAAGAGGATGTGTCAACCAGTCGTTTTTAAGACGTGCGATAGCTGTTTCCCCTTGGAGATCCCATTTTTTGCCGGTTTACAAGAAGCTCGGCCTCTTGTATTCATTCATTCCCCGAGTCATTAGGTGCTGGGCGAGTAGTAGCGACTCTGCCTCAGGGACCTCACAGTCCACCCAAGACACGAGGCGTGGCCTGGAGGCTGGGCGAAAGCCCTGGCACTGCAGCGGACGGAGGGTCTGGCCTTGGCTTTTGGAACTAGGCCACCTTCCCGCAGAGTCAGACCTGTGTCAAGATGTTGCGTCCCGAGCAGTGCGCACCTTCAGCACCGAAGGCTGGACGAGGCGAAAGTGTACCTGGGTACAGCAGCGTGTTTCCACAGTGTCATCTGTCAGTTCCCCAGATGAAAACGTACCCCGAAAGGGAAGGAAAGTGATTTGGCGCCGCCATCAAATCCAAAATCACAGATGACCTGAAGGCGATTTCTTAAAACAAACCAAAAAAAAAGGTTCAGATGTGTTTCAGCAAGTGGCAATAGTGTGAAACAGGGACCTGTGGCAGAGAAGTACTTGAAAGGAATTCATTAATCACATAACTATCTATTGTTAAATAAAACCGATCCAATCATTTATCGAACTTTTTGCTCTCACCATGCCATGAGGTGTGAAGACCGTGATAAAACAGGTCAAAAGGAATTTTTTTTTTTGCTGTTTTTGTTTATTTTGTTGTTGTTGAGAATATACACAGCAAAACATACATCAATTCAACAGTTTCTACACGTACAATTTAGTGACATTTATTACGTTGTCTGAGTTGTGCAACCATTCTCACCCTCCTTTTCTGAGTTGTTCCTCCCCATTAACATAAATTTGCTGCCCCCCAACATTCCTGTCTAATCTTTTGAGTTTCTGTTATCAATTTGATCCCATATAGATAGTTCTTAAAGAGCATAATGCTTACAGCAGACATTTTTTACTAGTTAAGCTAAACTGTTGTTTGGTTTTAAGAAGACTTCAGGGGATATTTTTAGTTCAAGGTTTAAAGATTACCTCAGGGGAATAGTTTCAGGGGTTCATTCAAGCTTCAAGGCTCCAGGAAGTCTGGAGTCCAAGATAATTTGAAATTCTGTTCTGCATTTTCCCCATTTTAATTAGAATTCTTCTATAGAATCTTTGATCAAAATGTTCAGTAATGGTAGCTGGGCACCATCCAGTTCTTTTGGTCTCATGACAAAGGAGGCAGCTGTGCATGGAGGCAATTAGCCACACATTCCATTTCCTCCTCCTATTCCTGACACTCCTTCTGTTGCTCCAGGCAAATAGAGACCAATTGTTTTGCCTTGGATGGCCACTTGCAAGCTTTTAAGACCCCAGGCACTATGCAATGAACTAGGAGATAGAACAGAAGCACTGAACATGTTATTAGGCCAGTTAACTGGGATGTTCCATGAAACCATGATCCTAAACCTCCAAACCAAGGACAAAATCCCATGAGGTTTTCGGAAGTACATCAGTGGCCTCAGCAGTTACTCTTTTTTTTTGGTTGTTGTTGTTGTAGTAAAGATATCTATTATACAACTTTTGAAAATTTAACTTTTTACAGGTGTACAACTTATTAACAATTACAATAATTGTGCAACCCTACCCTTAATCAATGACGTATTATTCATCCTATTAACCCTCCCTTTCGCCCTCTTTTCCACCTCTGGTAACCACTAATAAACTTTGTTCTCTATACATTTGCCTTTTCTTGTCTTTTTATATAAGTGAGGTTATACAATATTTGCCCTTTTGTGATTGACTTATTTCACTCAGAGTAACGTCTTCCAGCTCCATCCATATTTTAACATGTATCAAGACTTCATTTCCCTACTGGCTGAGTAGTATTCCATTGAATGTATGTACCACATTTTGTTTATCCATTCGTCTGTTGATGGGCATTTAGGTTGTTTCCACTTTTGACTATTATGAATAGTGCTACAATGAACATAGGTGTACAAATCTCTGAGTCTTTACATTCAAGTCTTTTGGGTATATACCTAGGAGTAGAATTGCTGTGTCATATGGTAGTTCTGTTTTTAGCTTTTTGAGGAACCACCACAGTTTTCCACAATGGCTGCAGTACAGCCACTGTACAATTTTGCATTCCCACCAGCAATGGGTAAGGCTTGCAATTTCCCCATATTCTGGCCAATATTTGTTATCTTCTGGTCTTGTTTTTTTTTTTTAATCTCAGCCATCCTAATGAGAATGACATGGTATCTTGTTCTGGTTTTGATTTGCGTCTCTTTTATGGCTAATGACCATTTAACAATTTTTATACAAATTGTTCCTGACATTGGTTAAAACTTTCACAATGTGTCAGCATTCTCATTATTTCCATTTTGTTCTATTTCCATTAATCTGGCTTCCTTTCACCTCCTTGCCTTCTTGTCTTTGCTTTTGGGTAAATGTTGACTGTTTGGTC